CCCCAAAACCCCAAAACCCCATCATTTTAACAAGTTAGAATTAGAGATGACTTGATTTTTAATTTAGTTAATGTGAGAAATTTGAATTTAAGATATAATAAAGTTGGAACTAATGCCATTTATTCTTTTCTTCTTACTGTGAGTTTCTTATGTTAGTGTGAATTAGTTAAATCTTATTAAAGCGTGAGTATCTTGACCAATAGTTATTAGAGACACAGACTGATATTCAGCATTCATATAATCATTTCATTTCAAATTCTTGTTATTTTTTGGGTTAGATTAGTCTTTTTTATCATCATAATAGTAATATTGAGAAAAATGCCTTTGTTAATGACTTCATATCTTTTATTAGATTTCTCTACTTCCAATCTTTATTATGTAGATTTAACACGTTTCCTCTTGTGTGATGGTCGAGGCTGATAACTATTTGATAAGCTGGTACATTTCGACCAAATTTATCATTAATATTTATAGAATAATTCAATTGACAGTGATGAGCAAGTAGAAAGACAGAGACTCTGAAATGTAACAGCCACTGCTTGAAGGGCAGCGAGACACCGAATCCTCTCCTGAGGTGGCGAATTAGTCATTAGCTAATGAAATAAAGGGCAAGAATCCCCTTCCTGCAGACTATCAATGGATACTGGAGGATCATAAAGAAGCTGACTACTCAAAGATAGAGGGAAGGATCAAAAGTTATAGTAAAAAGCTTTCTGAAAGAGAGGGAAGAGAATTAATGGTTAAGTAGGTCATCATGCTACCTCAGAGAGATATGATCTTGGTAGACTACTATTATGATAAAGATTAGAGAAATGATTTCGTTGACGTCATCGATTTGAATACAATGGAGATTATCAAAACACATTGCCTGTAGGCAGTTAAAATATTTTGCAGACACTTCAACCATGTTGACTATGTTTTTTACCAGCAAGATTAGTTTTTATACTTAATGAAGCTTGATGATTTCATTGAATCAAACAAAGATAATCAATTGGTTGAGTTTGAATTTTAAGAATGCAAGTGGCTCTGGAATGTAGAAATCATAGATGAATCAGCATCATGATTTGTGATGATGATTACACATATCTATTTAGATTGGTTGGCACTTCTCTAAATGAGACTAATCAAGATTCTAAAGTTTCTATCAGTTCTTAAGTGGATTTTACAGCCAAGAT